ATTTTTTAATAGGATACTATATATAGAAGAAGTAATTTAGTCTATAATATACAGTATGTATATTTATGCTATTTTCCTTTTGTTATTCAGAAATAGATAATTTATTTGTATCATCAATAAAATCAAAATCAAAATCAAAATCTTCTATTTCTCTAAAATTTATATTAATATTTTATTATTTATATATTAAATGAAAAAATGTTGATTGAAAATCTAACATTATGCGATTAAAAATTTAATATTTTTTATTTAAATATAATAATTTAGTATTATTTACTTTAAATAATATTTTAATAGTATTAATTCTGATACTAATTTTTTAAAATAAAATAAATAAAGTTCTTATTAAATATAAATTAGAATAATAAAATTTTAGTTAAAATCACATAAATTTTAAAAAAATTATTAATTATCCAGAAAAGTTTAATTAGTGATAAACCTAAGGATAAATTAAAGTAATATATAAACTAAACTTTAGCATATACTGGTTAATTATCTTTTATATAAAAAAAAATTTGGATTTTTTTAAAAAAAATCTTAAAGTTATTCTGCATATATTTAAATTTTTTTAGATTTATTATATTTGTTAAAATATATATTAAAAGATATGAATTAGTTTTCAGATATATTGATTAATATATAAATAAATAAATAATCCTTATACAAAATTGATTGTTTTAGTCTAAAAAGATTCCAGTCAATAAAATCTGAATAAATTAAATTATCTAGTTTTGGATAAATATCTGATTCTATAATAAAATTCTGGATTTTAAAATAAAAAATCTGATAAATCAGAAACTTTTATATTTTAGTTTTAACTCTAAATCAAAGGTGAATCAAAAGTAATTATCAGAATATTATTATTAAAAATTATATTTCCTTCTAAAAATAAAAAATTTGAAATTATAAAAATTTAATAATTTTATTAAAATTGTAATTATTAAATAATTTTGTAAATTGAAATATATATAACATGTAAAATAAAATCACAATTGGATTTATAATAATTAGATAATTTATTTAAATAAAATTACTCTTTTGAAATTATTTCAAATTTTTAATATATGTTGATATAAATAGTAATCTGATAATATGATAAGTATATTTAAATGATAAATTATAATTTATAAATATATTTTATAAAATAATCAAATAAAATTGATTTATAAATTATAATTTTTTTATCAATAATTTGATTGATTAAGAATGGTTAAGTAATTAATAAAAATTTTAAAAAAATAAAGTTAATTAAAAAAAATAGTAAAATAATTAAATTTTTAAAGTATAATTTAAAAAGAATAAAATAAGAATTAATTGATTTAAAATTAGAAAAAAATGAATTTAAAAATAATTTTTAATTTAAGTTTTTATTAAATTGGTTAAAAAAGATAATTGATAAATTATAAAATTATTAAAAATAAAGATAATAAGATCATATAATGAATTTTTATTTAAAAAAATGAATAAATAAAAATAAAAAATTTATTTAAAAAAAAAATAAAATAAATATAATATTCTAATAAAAAATATAAACAAATTATATTTATAATGTAAGAAATCTTATTTATTTATGAGAGATTTGTATATTATTGAATTAATAAATCTAATAATATTTTGTATAATTAGAATGATCAATTATATTTTTATATATTGATACCATATGAAATCAATTCTACTATATCACAAGAATCAATAAAGATTAATATTATTATTAATGTATAATTCTTGCGAATTGTAACAGTTAGACAGAATGTCAAGGGTTGTTTCTTTTTAAATTTATGTAATAAATACATTATTTATACTAAATAATATTATTTTAAATGTGAATATTTATGTTCAAATACTTGTTATGAAATATTACACAACTTGATAATTTATAATAAAAATAGTTTATTGATTAAATATATTAAAATATAAGAAAAAAATTATTAAACAAATGGTAAAATGTGATAAAGAAAACTAAAAGTTACTCAATAACTTAAGTATATATAAACTATTAAGAGAATTTTACTAGATGTATCTAAAAATCTGATTCTAAATCTATCTGAAAAGTTTAAATAATTGAGTCCTATATATATTTTTAAATACATAGAATAATATATTAACTATCTTAGCTTTTCAACTATGTTAACTATTTTAATAATTTTAACTATTTCAACTAAATTAACTAAATTAATTATGTTAACTATATTAATTGTTAAATATGTCTGATATGTCAATCATATTGATTGTAGTAATTATGTCATCATTAAAATTGCATTATGTAGATCAGTCATAATTTGATAACTACTTCAGAATCACTAACAAAAAATCACTTTCATATGACTTTTTGGCTAGAGTTATGCCATTAATCATTGAGTTAAGGCATTATGTATATGACAAATAGTAATATGATGAATATGATTTTACACACTGAAAAAATTCTAAGTTCTTGAAATACTTAGTAAAAAATGAAAAGTAGAGGGTGTGATGTAGGATGATAAATATTTTTTATATAATCACGTGAAAGTGATTTTTGTTAGTGATACTAGGGAAAATTAATTTGATCATTTGGTCATATTATTAACATCTTTAACATTTTTAACTTCTTTAACATTTATATTTTATTTATATTTATTTTATATATTATTATTATTTATTTTATTATTATTATTATTATAGTTAAATTATATTTTATTAATGTATTTATTTTAGCATTATAATTTAGTTATATAAAATAATGTTAGATAATGATTTTTTATAATTGTAATTTTTTATAAATAGAATAGAAAATTGTTTTTGTAAAAGGATAGAAATAACAGTGATAACTTAATAGTTTGAGTAAAATACTTAAAATTCAAGATTAAGGATTGCTAAGGATATAATCTCTATAATAAAAGAATCTTTTTTTAAACTACACATATATTAAAATCCTTTAATGTATCAATCATGTTTATTATTCTTACAATTATTAAAGTTAATTTCTCATTTAAATTATAAATCTAAGGTAGATTGTGATAGAACTTATTCTATAGTAACTTAGTAATTTCTCATGTTATTTACTGTTATTAAGTTATTGTTACTTTAAGTTTAACGGATTGATCATAAGGTTAATAATGTCAAATGATTTTCAGATTAAAATATATTCAAATTTATATTCACTCATTTTTTATTTTTCTAGTCAAAGGATCTATATATTTAAACTTTTATTTTTATAAATTATATTACAAATTATATTATTTCTTATTATTTAATAATATACATCCTTTAAACTATAATTAAATATTATAATTTTTTTTTTTAATTAAAAATTATTATACATAAATAATGCTTATATAATATATAAAATTTTTTTTTTCTTTAATATTTTATATAATGTTAGAAAAATAATTTTTATTATAACTATAAGTTTGTTTGTTGTTTTTTTTTTTTTTTAAAAAAAAAATATATATATATATATATATATTATATTATTTTAAGTTGATGATAGTTTTAAAAATAAATGATTCTAAAAGTTAAAATGATTAAAACAAAAAACATTTAATTTTCGATAATGATATTGATTCTACTCAAGTTTTTTACTAAATATGGAATCGTAAAAAATTAAATTAATAAAATGACAAAAGTACCAAATTACTAGTAAATGGTAATTAATTTTTTCTTTCTAACAAGTTTCAAAAATTCATTAATTAACCCAAACTTACAAATTAAGATCGATTTCAGATTTGAGTGAATTTGACTCATGTAGGAGCAAAAAATTAATTTCATCATTCTCTATAACTTTGCGAACAAAGTGGTAAAGAGAGATCCACATGATATTCGTGATATTTTTAATTCAAATTCCAAGAATAAAGGAGGACATCATTATTTCTTTAATGTAATAACCTATAAAAGAAAATAAAATTGATCCAATTAATTATTGTACATTCGCAGAGTAATCATAATTCTACAATCATAATAAAGAATTTAGATTCGATATGGAATAAATTTTGTTATTTCCCCCTGTTTCCCCCGCTTTTAAAGTGAAATAAAAATGCAAAGCTCGAAAAGCGGTGAATAAGAGGGATTAAATAATAAATGAGACCAAATGATTTGATCATTCCACAATTGTCAAAACCAAAATTACTTCCCACTTAAATCAATAAAAGGAAATTAGAGAACTTACCAAAAGTTGACCAATATCCCTTTCCAGCAAAAGAGCATATATATATGTACACTTAATAACACGCACCCATAAAAAAAAAAATTTTTTTTTTTCTTTTCTTTACTTTTAAATTAGAAAAATATAATGCAAAATAAATATAATAAAATGATGTTTATAACCCGTGTTTTTTTACAATGGTTTTTTTTCTCTTTTTTTTGTTTTTAAATAAAAAAAAAAATTGTAAAGCTCAAGGAACTAATAAATAATATACATTTAAAAACAAAACATAACTTTAATTCAGCAAGGAAATTTAAAATTGAAAAAAAAAAGAACGTAAATGCAAATATCTCACAAATGATAAAATGTTCACCAAACTCGGGAAACAAAAAAAAAAAATAATACAAAAATAATTACAATGGAAAAAATACTTTGCTGAAAGAAAGAGAGTTTTAGATGGAGTAAAAAAAAAAAAAATTTGATTCAACGATACGCTGTAAATGTTCTTTTTTTTGCAAATGCCAAAAATTATTAAACTTCTTCCCTTTTTAAATCCCTTCCTGCGAGGAACTTCAAAACTTATCAATCAATGAACCCACCGTCGTGAATTGCGGAAATAAAAATATAAATATTGAAAGCAAGGATAGGAAATAAATAATTTTTTTTCTCATTAGTTTTCCCCCCCTAACCAATTTTGGTAGAAAACATTTTTTTTTATTCTTCCTTTTTTTAAAGTAAATAAATACTTAGTAAATCGTATTATTAAATATCGCTAGGCGAGTAGAGCAAAAAAAGAAAAAGAAAGAACATCCTAATGTCCACAACAAAATGAAGGACTGCGGAGAAAGAACTAAAGGGAAGAAAGTATTGCATTATTGAATCATGCAACGGCATCTGGCTTTTCGGATATATTTTTCTTCATCATCCGAATCGGCGCTATTCTTCTTTTGCTTCTTGTTTTTCTTTTTCTTGCCTTTTGTGACAACGGGAACTGAATCGACTTGCACAGGATACACGGGATACGGGTTATACTCAACGGCAGGCATCTGTACGGGTGCGGGCTAAAATGTTTTTAAAAAAATTAGCATTCTATTTTCAAAAACGTCAGATAGTCGATTATTATTAATTTAAACATACGATAAGGATCTCTTCAACTTTATTTTCGGTATATTCTTCTTGATGACTTTCGACTTCTGTTGTTGTTGGAGCTGTGGAAGGCTCTGATGGAGTCAATGACTAGGAAAAAAAAAGAGAAAAAAAAAAGGTTCGTTAACAACAGCAGAAAGAAACAAGAAATATCGGAGAACAAACAAAATGTAAAAAACGTACAATTGAAGAACGGGGTTCGATGAGCTCCAAATCCTCATCATCATCATCATCGCCCACAACCGACATTATGTATTCCTCACGTCGGGATTTTCTTTCTCGTTTAACATCATCATTGTGGAAAGAGGGATTTGAAGAATCCTCAAACTGTGTAATCGTAGGACTTGGAGGTTCTTTGCTAGTAATTTGAGCCGGTTGTTGATGATTTTGTTTGCGAGGAGCGATGTAATGAGCCGTACTTGAATTACGTGAATGTCCTGCAGAAGAATTTTTTCGTGTGGACCGTGGACGACGACGTTGTGAATCAGGAAGTGATGGCTGTCTTTTGTGTGACTTTTTTTGAGGATTATCAAATAAATCTTCGACCTGATCTGTGATGTCCACATAACCATTTTCTGTTTTTTTTTGAGAATTAACGATTAAATCAACCATCTGATCTGTGATGTCCACATAGCCATTTTCTGGCGCTATCGTTGGAGATATACTTTCTGAATCCTCTCTACAATCAAGTAATGCATCATGATTTGCAAAATGCAATTGTCCATTCATTTTGAGTTTCTTCGCAACAGTTGGTACAATGACATCATCGTGAGGAATTATAACTTTCTTTGGTTGATCCAAAGAGTCTATCGGAGATTCCTTTTTTAACTTCTTTAAAAGTGGCTGAGCAGACCGAACATCTACGTTAAACGTTGATGAACCAGATGAGAGAGGTGGTGTTATAGGTGGTTCTTCTAACTTGCGTGGAGTTATCAAACCATCGTCTAAATGCGAAAGTGGAGTATTTGGAGATATTGGAGGGGATTGCGGAGGTGTATCGGGAGGAGTTGCGATACCATCTTTGGGTACAGATTTTATTTCTTCATCCTTATAGTTGTTTGTTGGCATATTGATTTTTTTAGTCTTAGGAGTGTTTTTTTGTGATTTTTTCTTATTTTTGGAATTGACTACACCGGTCTTTCCATTCAAGTTCGTGATAGGGGTTTCTCTAAATGGTCGTTTCTTCTGGGTTGATGGAGCATTCCGTATAATCGAATCATCTTCCAACATTTTTATTTCCAACCATGAACTAGCATTCATGCCCATCTCATTATTAACATTGCCATGGAGGTGAAATCTGTCACCATTCAAGTTTTTATTAGTGCGTTGTTGTGATTTATCCTCCGGTCCTACAGCATTCCAAGATTTAGATTTAATAGAAGAAGCCTGATCAATTCCATTGGAAATTGATGACATTCCCTTTTTCAAAGGACCGTTATTTAAATTATTGTCGGTACCTAAATAATGTTTTGATTTTGGCCTGATCATTATAATGGGAGAATCTGGGCTAGATTGTTCCGAATTGATAATAACAGAACTTCTTGGGATCTTATCTCGTTTTTTAAATGGGTCTGGTACACGTTCTTGCGGATTAAGGTCGGGTTGTATCTCAAAAACCTCTAACCCCTGCTTTAAACGTTCGATTACAAAGGAATACATAAGTAAATAAAAGAAAAACACCAAAGAGATTTGATCTCGCAAATCTTTTTATAAATGCATGAAACAAAAAAATTTTCACTCACAGAATCCGTTGTACTGAAGCGTATTTCAAAAGCGGAAGGAGCTACTTGTGGTCGTTTTCGTGACATTTGTTGTTAAGAATAATGTTCATTAAAACCTTTTAGAAAAAAAAAGGGTTACCCCTAGACGTTACGTTAAATCCTTTGAAGGTTTAGAGGTGTTAACGCTTCAAAGGGACAAAACGTCCTTTAAGAGTTGAGTTATTTAATAAGGATAAAGCAAGTGAGAAAGTCGGAAAGTGGATGTCGCAGAGGATGGGAAACAGATAATTCCTTTCCGAGGTTTTTTTTTTGTACCAGGACTTTATCGGTTCTAGTCTACTTTAAGTTGTGTGATAATTTTCCTTCTCTTGTTAGGAAGAAAAAAAGAAATATGCGCCAGAGATTTTCTTTTACTTTCTTTTTTTTTTTTTGTATTGCCAAATAGCAGTTATTCAGTCGAAAGGTGTATGAACGTCGGTGGTGGTATGTGAGATTGGTAGGTTCGTTATTTATGAAAAGATGTTCAAGAGAAAAAAAAAATTTCTCGACGGATATTTCGCGTATTGGATTAGAGTAAACTAGATAAAAAAAATTGTTTTTTTGAATATGAAAAAAAAAAAAAAAAAAAAAAAAAAAAAAAAAATTTTTTTTTTTAAGCGTTAAATATATGGTTCAGTTTAAAAAAAAAAAAAATGAATAAATAAATAGAATAAAAGGAGACAATAGGATCAATAGGAACAAGATAAACAACAGAGGAAAAAAAAGATTGAAAGGCAGAGTTTATAACAAAAATGATCAAATTAAAAAAAAATAAAATATTATATTTACTTGTCTTTATAATTTTATTTTATTTTTTTTTTTTATACTTGATTGTTAAACTTTTTTTTGATTTACTCGTCTGTTAATTTATATAATAATATAGTTCGGAAATAAAATTATCTTTATTTTTATTTTTTTTGGTTAAAAAAGCAGCCCTGCTGCAAATGTTCCCCAATATACCCTTTAAAAAAATATGATGATTTTGAATATGTATATATATGATTTTTTGTAAAAAAAAAAAAAAAACTGCGGTCCTTTCGAAGGGTCCTATTTATCAAAATTTTTGAAAGAAAAAAAAAAAAAAAGAGATTTTTTAGGAAGAAGAGAGGGAGAGAAAAAAAAAATACAACGTTGCAGACTAAAATTGTTAACATAAAAAAAAAAAAATTATATATATATTGTTTTTTGTATGATATTCACAAACATCACAAAAAAAAATACATTGGAGTTTTGGAAAATAATAAAAAAAAAAAAAATAATAATAATTTTCAACAAAGATTGGTTCCTTTAAAAAAAATTTTTTAACAAATTTACCACTCAAAAACTTTTTTTTATTTTTTTCCTCACTTATAATAAAATTGTGTTCAAAAATTAATTTTGTCAAAGTAAACCTTGTGGGTTTATTATTATGTGCAACGAACCAAAGCGAACATCAAAATTTTTTATTTTGTATTATTTGAAAGTGACGATACAGGTTATCACACATGTAAAATAATTGTATTTAATGTAAACACACATATAATTAATGTATTTCCTAAATAAACATTAGTTACATAAAATACAATACTGGTTTTTTTTTTTATTCTTGTATTAAATTTTTGGTTTAAACAAAATTGAATCAAAATCGCAAATCTTTTTTTTTTAGGATGAAAATTCGCAAAGCGAAGCTACATGCTACATGATATTTCCTTTTGGTGGGTTCGGGGAAATTATCGCTTCGGTACAACGTTGAGAGAAACTCCCGCCATAAACAAAAAAAAAAAAAAGGCGTAAAAGGTTCCTTTAAAGCGTAAATTCGGGGAATGTTTGCTTAATAATTAATCGTAAAAGGCTAACATCAATTCGTACCACTTCGCATTCCGTTACATTCTCCTAACAGGTTCAGGTATTGTAAAATCCACATTCGTTGCTGCGGAACATCTTTATGCTAACTCAAATTTAATATTTGATTTGAAAAAGGTGAATGTTCTTTCATACTAAATGTGGCCAAGTAAAATCAGATATTAAAAGAACGAGTCAAGGGCGGAACCAAAAGAAGTAAGCACTAACCAATAAAAATCCAATAAGGAAATTCTTTATAATTAAAGGAAAAAGGGAAGGATCTGTTCCGAAATGCAATATTTTCACATCATGCCGCAGTGATCATTTACAATCGGGAAGGGCGGAATGTAAGGGAATGTAGGGACTTTGTTATAAATAAAGAGAACCCTTCTTTGATCCGATGACAAATGGGATCAGGGTTTGATCCTAAATGGAAAATAAGGGGAAACGCTTATGAAATTAACGGATGTATGTGCCGACCGATCTCCTTATTATGCAGCTGGCTCTAGAACTTTGCAGAAGGAAAAAGAAATCTTTTTTAATTTCTTTTTGTTTGTTTCATATCTCTTTTAGGCGCCAAAAAAAAAAAAAAAGAAAGAAACGTTTCAAAGATTGACGATTAACTCATTGCACATTCGATGATGGTTAATTATAAATCTGCTGCAAGGAAGCCTGTCGTGTAAGCATAAAAGCATGAAAGTGTATCATTCATGTATCAGCCAACTTCTTCAAGTCTGATTGGTAGATGTTTTATCGACAATACAAAAAGAATATTTTTTTTTTTGTTGTGTTTCGCGTGTTGTGGAGAAGAATTTAATCAAGGTTGCAAAATGTTGTCGATTTTTTTATTTTCCCTCTTTTTCATCCTTTTGCTTTTTTTTTTTTTTTTGAAAAATTGATGTCATTGTTTTCTCCATCATTGTGTTGCCTGTTTAGGTCGATTAATGACCATCAAAAAAAAAAAAAAAAAAAATACCAATCGAGAGGTTAATTTAACTATTTACATCTCTCAATTTTAACAATTTCCAAAAATTAAATATCACACATTTCACAATATTGATTTTAATTTAATTTACAAAAAGCAATAATAATGCAATCTTATTAGTTCCGTTCCCCGTGTAACAGATGATGATCGAAACTAAGCTGAAATCGGTAGGGATCAAAAATCCACCTGTCAAATATCAAGATAAAGATTTGGTAAACAAAGCTAGAGTTCACTAGGCTTGTTAACTTTTCCTGAACAACAGAACTAATACCGTTCACGTAGTCCTTTCAAAGCATACCATACCATAACAATTTCAATTGGTCGTCTTTTAATTGTTTGAATGATTGTTTGATATCACATTTTTTACCCACAAGATCCGTGAATAGAATATTAGTTCTTGTTAATCATTTTAGATGATTGGTACATTTTTGAATTCACATTAAAAATTTAAACAATATGATCATATGAAACTTGTTTTCAAACTTGAAAGGAATGGACTTTAAAGGATTATGTAATACATTTAATTTAACATCATTGTATTATGCATTTTAGGTCATTTGTGAAAGACACATTTCATTTGCCCCCTTTTAGCATGGGGGGATCCGTGCCACAATACTTTGCTATCTAGGAACGAAGAAATTGTCAATAATATCTGGCAAATCCCAGGTATTTTCATTCTAATTTCCCACCCCCTGACCCCCCTTGTTGTCCTTCTCCACAACTCCTCCGCTTAGCGAAATTTGTGCGTCAACAACAATCGTCCATCAAACATGTAATTTCATTATCCGGTTTTATCCGGTTAGATGGTTAAATCTCAAGTTGACGCAAAATTCGTTATATCCCTTCATCAGTACATAATAAATAATAAAATAAACGAAAATAATTTATCATGATAATAAAAGGGAAGGTGACGAATTTTTTACTTCTCGGAGCTTGAGCTTTATTTATACCATCAGCCCAATTTTTCAATTAGGCTGTCAATCACAATCCCACAATTTCGTAATCTTCTATAAATATCCATACCATCAAACCCATGAATCAATAAAAGGGTGTGTGGCTGCTACTACTATGCCACATGGACTTAAGTGTCCATGCAGAATCGTCATCAAGAGATTTTGCGCACATAATTTTTAGGGATATAAATTGGGTGGTTGTCTGGCTTCGCATTAAGCTGACGCCGCCTCTAAGAATTTTTAGCGGTTTGGGAAATTTTTAAAAAAGGGGTTCGCGGGATAAAAATATTATTTTTAAATAAAATTGGAAGAGGAATTCGAATAAAAGAATGTGAAAAAAAAATAAAAAAAAAGAATTCGATAAAAAAAAAAAAATTTAACCTTCTCTCACATTGAATAAACCTCTTTTCAGTTGATTGAAATTCCTTTTAAAGACCGATTTCTTTTTTACACAGTCACATGTGGATCAATGAATCTTATTATCTGTTGTGTTTCGAACGAACTCAAACCTTAAACTTGAGGATTTTCGGCGCAACCAAATTACGTACAAGGCGTAAACATGTTACACGCCGAAGAAAAATGATCATTGAATATTATTTTTTTTTTATTTTATTTTCTTTTGTTTTTTTTTTTTTGTTCGAAAAAAAAAAACAAACAAATCGGTTCCAGGTGCATTTTTTTTTCTTTTTTTTATTAAAACACATTGTTCCAAAATCCCTTCTTATTCTAGCGAAAAATGTTCTGTATTATTTTGAATAAAATCAATTATCGTTCTTTGGTAAATAAATAATGATCGAACGTTTGAAATGTGTGTGTGTGTGTATCTTTTCGAAATTAGAAATTCTAGGTAACGGAAAACATGACAATACCTTCTAGGCTAACTTTTGTACGCAACGTGTGGCAACATTTCATGGAATACAATGGATACGATAAATTTATTATTGGAAAGGTAAAAAGATATTGTTAAAAAAAAGAAAGGTGCCATTTGGGCATTGTTCATTTCTTTTCTTTATAAATAGTAATAAACAATTTATTTTTTTTTAACTTTTTATTTACTTTATTTTTTTTTTTTAATTCGACTTTTACTTTAGATGACGATTACGGATGCAATCGATGGAAAAGTCACTTGTGAATTACCTATAGAGAGGATCCATTTGGTAACGACCAAATCAATGTTTTTTTCCTTTGTCTTTGAAATTAGATAATGCTTATTTTTTTTTTTTTTTTTTAACAATAAAGAATCGCGTAGGGTCTGTGCATGGCGGCTTGCTGTCAACACTGGTGGATAT